GTGGGATTCACTCATCTATCTTAATCTTAATGATTTAAAACTAACTACATAAAAGAAAAGAAACTTTGATTAACTTTTTGAATGTTGTTAGTTAGAACTAATAAATTAAAAACAAAAAAGATATATCATATACAGATTTGTTTCTTTGAAATATAGGTATCGAACTAATTCACAAGTGTAGAGTTGTGTTAGACATATTAGAGTTTCTACAAGAAACAGTATCACAGACGTTTATCTTCAAAGAACAAACGAACTCTTGTTATAGATATTTCTAATGGATGTTATACTGACTTTAATCATTAAACGATACTAATTAGATACTTAAACGAAGACTTAAACACCGTCTAATATAGAAAATAAAAAAAGACGGACAATATATTGTAATACAGAGATATCTTACAAACGTAGAATTATTAATCAAGGGAATACTAATATGTTATTAGAGCAATGTGATGAAATAAGAGAAAGTAGAACGGATTTTAGGCTGAAATGAATATCGAATAGATAATTTAGTTTTATTCATTCCCTCCTGCTAGGTGAAACAAACAAAAACGTCCAAAAACAGCGGAATTAGGTTTCTCTTGGACGAAAAAAAATAAGATATAATATAAATCTGTTTTCTGCAGACAATTGTTGGAGTGTGAGTATCGTTTAGGTTGTTCTCATAGTATCGAAAGAATTTATTCGTTTCATTAAGATTAACAAAATAATATAATTCGTTTATTTTACAAATTTACGCTAACTTGACTGAAGTAAAAATTAATTACAAAAAACAGCGTTATTTCTCATTTAACATTATTGTTAAAAGATTACTTTACTATCGAAACTTCTTTTTCGTTTTTTAAATATTGTCAGATTTGTACTACTATGAAATCTAAAGTTGGTTAGACGAAACGTCTAGTTTTGAGGAAAGCAAAATAGTCTCATTTATTTTTCTAACCAAAATCCAGTCATGATAATGTTCTTTTCCTTCACCGATGATTTTGTATCCGATTGCATGGTTAACACTATCTAGATCAAAAACAAGAAATAACTGACTTTCAACTACGCCAGATGCAATCACATTTCACTCTCTTTATTCGTACCTTTTTTCACTGTTCAATAAGTCTAAAAATAGAAATATGAGAATTTTACTTTCCAAAAGAAAATTAAATATCTTAGCATTTGTATTATCCATTGGGATCGAATGGATGCCATTCTCATTTTTGTTTCTCCGTCTCTTTTGATATTTGTATAAACTAGTTTTTTAATGTTTAGAATACCTGCTAACGGTTGTTTTTATTAGTTCATATATCAATACATACTCATTCTTCGTTACATCATTTTGTTCTCGTTTTGCGTTCGTATTTTTTATCGACTGATTTTTAGTAATTATCTTTTGTAATAGAAGCTGAACATCTTCAGGGTGTCGTTTTAATTCATAAGCCAATTCGTGCTGATAATCGATTATAAATGTTAATACTAACATTTAATCCGGCAGACCGCATGATCAGAATCTGGAGAAATTCATCGGTTGAATATGTTTGATTGTAAACAGCTACTTCTCCACTCTTCAATATCAATTATTATCTGTCTATACTTTGTTTCTAATTCATTATTCGTTTCATCGACTGATACATTTTTATAAATGACTTTGACTAATCTGGAACATTGCCATGGTAGCTTCGTGAATTCCACATAAAATTTTCACATCATCCAACGTTCTAAATCGCATAAATAAGTAATCTGAAGGATTAGTAGACTAGTTTAAAAATGATGTGTTTCAGTGGCATATAATTTTTTATCCTATTTTACTCATAACCTTCTATTATTCGTGATCTTTCGAAGAATCTCATTTCTCTTTTTTACGAACGAGGCCGTCCCCTAGTGAGAAACTTACTCACATCGTCGGATCTGAAAATTCTAAAATTTGATAAGTTTTTTCTAAAATCGTACTAAAACTATATTGTTTAACATTTTTTCAAGATTGGGTAAGAATCTGTTAGGATCTTAATAGTAGGAACGATAACGTTTTTTAATAAGATTCATTCGAGAGAAATTTTGAACACTTAATCTGCATTATCTAAAGCAGCAGCTGAACAGTGTTGAAGAATGAAGAGAAATTTCATATTTTCAGGTGTCCAACTATGGACCTTGACCTGCATGTACACTCGCTAAAAGGTTATTGAACACTTTCGAGTGGGCAAATACTTCCAGAATCTAGAAGAAAAATAGCCGTAAAATCACTCTTATTTTTTATGTTACTTATATAGGTAAATGAGAGTAAAATAAGAGGGTGAATGAAAGTAGAGTTAAATCGTATTAAGATCTTAGATTATCTTATCAAAATCTTATGAGATCTTAGTAAAGTAATTTTAAGAAGTATCTAAGATTTTTACTAGGATCAAGTGTCTGCTCGCTTTTTTTGCTGGAACACAGTTTTTTTATGAATTGTTTACGATAGAGATTATGAATCTAATAGTCCTTTCTGCTGCCAGGTTCTTTACGTAGGCGGGATATTTTAAATGTATTTAACGTGTTACCGATGATTGTATATATATATATCTCAACACATTTCTTCCATATTTTAGAACAACATAAATGAACATTCCTTATTATTAAACATTTTTAACAATTACAATAACTTTGAGGTGTGGTAAAGAGAACAATATGATGCCGCCGCCTCTGCTTTTATTCGATTCATTTAATGTGATAATGGTAATGTGTATGCGTGCTTGTCAATGTCAAATATCAATAATTCAGTCTATATGAGACGGTTTGATATAATAAAAGGTGATTGTCGGCAAAATTGAAGTTGGATCGGGCTAATTTAAGCTCCTGATTAGGTGTATACATTAACATTGACAGTACACACACACACATTTATTCATTTATTTCATATCAGAGTGTATATGGTGTGTCAAGTGTACGTATCGATTCCCATTTGAAATGAGCCGCTAATATGATGGGCTGTTACGTTACGAAGAAGTGAAAAATGTGACGAGCAAGTGACACATATGAATATATAGGATTGAAGTCAACAAGGAAAACATCTTGATTTTTATTTCACACATTTTTTTGGAAAGTGTATAGCGAGCCTATATATAAACGATTCTGACACACAATTGTTGATTGATTGATTGCAATAAATTCAATCTGAAACGGAAAAGAAGAGAATGACACACACATTTTATTATTTATGATAATGGTAATGAGCGGTAAAAAAATTAAAGAAGTAGACATACCACTTCTTTGTCAAGAACATGTCCTTGTTTACATCCCTTGCAGGATAATCGCTCTTGGATGTTTATACATAGTCTTTCCTTTCTATATCCTAAGGTATAATTGTTTGTTGTTCATAATCTAATCCGTCAGTCGAAAACATAACTTAAAGCTTTTATTTTCGTATTAAATTAAAATTCAAAACATTGCATTTCACTTTCAAGTTTAAGTGACTATTATTATTATCTGATGAATAAAATGCCATTTCTTTGACAGGATTAGAAAAGATGCTGTCGTTTTGATGCTCAAAAAACCAAGCGCCGAATCAAATCAGATTTTAACTTAAATAAGATGGTAGATGGTTGTTGTATATAGTCAAACAAAAACATAAACCATGGCTTTATTATTTCCGCAGTGTCTTTATATAATTTCGCCGACAAAAGTAAATAGACACAAGAGAGTGTGTGGAAGTTTGAAAAATAAATTACTTACATAATACTTTAGTGTAGTTAGATATTGTACCTTGAACAATAAAGTAAAGTTGATATTAAATATTGTCAACTGAAACCAGCTCTTCTAATGTCCAAGGATTCATCATTTTAATATTCACTGATTAATTCAAGTTCAACTGCTGTAAATAAATGCAGACAATAAGATGTCGTGTGACCAAGGAAATCTAATGTTTTTAAATGATCGGTTAATAAGATTCTGTTAATCTTACAAAAGAACAAAAAATGACCGACCAGCTCAAACGGGAATACAGCGTATTTGCTTCTTTCTCCTCGCCTACACTAGTCAAAATGTGTAAACTCATTGCATTTGCTTCCTCGTACCAAAAAATGAATATGCTAAAATTTTGTAGAATCTTTCGATGTGAATCCATCATTCCACCACAATTATTTCGTTACAGTAAATTCTACATCAGTTATCTTGTTAGAATAAAAGATATGGGGATAAAATTGTATGTATATTTATATTTGTATTATTTATTCTCTCAGCCTTTAAATCACTTCTTCTTATGACTATCTATTATGTGGCGGTGGATCGGTATGGCTTTTGATAGTTAAAATCAAATTACTTTCACATATATATGAATGACTATGTGTATGTATATCGACTGATCTAAATGCTTGTCTATCCAATTATTATTTTTCCCTCCTTCAAATAATAACACCCTCAAACACACATAATCGTACTGATTATATTCGTGAAACCACAAACGGATCAGTTTGTTAGTCTCTCTTTCTTTTTTCTCTTTCGTCAAGATTAAATTTCGTTTGATGTTAAACCGAATTGTAAATATAATATTCGTCAAAGTCAAAATTAAAGAAAGCAATCGACAAAGTGTCGAAAAGTCTCTAGATATACAAAAATATACTCATAGTTGACGACGATACCGACTACTTCAGAAAAACATACGATTTTCTCTTTCTCTAAAATAATTTTTATCTTCTTTTCTTTTCTCTTTTCCTTTTTCTACTAAAAATAAATATATTGGATAAATTTTCTCTCCTATTATAGTTTGACCAATACACGTTTTCTTCTTTCAAACAAGCCAATAAACAGATAAATTATGGGTTTTTTTTACACATATATTCATAGTCGCGGTTCAACGTTTGATATAATCACATCTACAATGATGATTATGCTCAATTACACTTTTTTCTATTTCTCTTCTTCTTTCACGGTGTAAAGGCGGAGAAAAAAAAGTTTTCTCGTTAGTTAATATATATTTATTTCAACGCATACAGAGACGTAAAAAAGAAAAAATTCCGTTTTTTTTTTCACTTAAACAGAAAATGGTACTTCTTGCTTATCCGTTGTTAAACACCGCAGCACCATTATCATCTAAATCAACTTTTATGGTAAGTCTATTAAAACGATTATTCTAACAAAAATGAGATAGACAGATTCTTTAAACTACTAGATAGAAGAAAAAAACAATTAGATCATTTTGAAATTGGGAAATAGATCCCACAGGCAATATCATAGTGTAAGATATGTTGAAAAGGTGATTATGTGATGATTAGAATTAAAGAAAGAATTAAAACAACGTACACTTCGTAAGACATAGTACCACTAGCATTCGGAGTTTCTTAGAAAATTTTAGAAAATCACTAAAAAAGCTGTTTAACTACTAAAAGAAGATTCTTTTAATTCCCTTCACTATTGTCGGAGAAGTGTACAAACTGTTAGTGTTTTTAATACGAATCACATTATTTAATGATCATTCTTTTACTTTCTTTTTACTACAGATAGGGTATTATACTATTCCCTTTCTAATCTATCCATTTAGATAACTCAATTTTCTCTTTAATTTGTTATCAGACCTTTGGCCATAATAAATATATTTTATTTTACATACTATCACTTTGATGATCAGTTGCGGGTTTTTTGTTTGATAAAGACATAGATCGGTCAAAGAATGTGTTTGCAGCCTATTCTTTTGTAAAGTAATTTGTAGATGATTAACACTTTCTCTGTCTAAAAGTTTGCTTTTATCGTGATCATCTTATAACTATTTGACGAATGTTAAATTAATTTGATACTTTTTTATGACTCACCCTGTTCTAATATCGTTGGTAAGACTTTTTCACATCCTATAGAATAATTGCATAATGTTGATTTATTGTTCTCTATTCGGCACTTGTCGTTTGAAAACGAATGCGCGTATAACTGATATTAATGTCGGTTAAATATTTTCTGTTGTTTTTCTCATATCTACACCTTATTTATAAAGATTATCAGCACTATCAATTCAACAAAAAAAAAAAAAACTTCCGCTTCCACACATATCTTAATAAATCTAATGATGCATCATCATCAAGAAGGTACACACATGATATCAAATTGGAATGAAGAGGAAATACACCAATCCTTTGTACACATATATTTAGATACTTAACAAAGTGCTTTGATCTTTTTAGATTTTTCTTTTCAGTACTTCAGCCTATATATGTGTACAGAAACAAGAAAAAATATAACATATCATCACTTCGATTATAGATGCCATTCGACATCGAAGGTGACTTCAAAGACTCCATGATTGATAGACAAATGAGATAGAAAGAAGCGAGAAATATAAGCAGGCGATCGGTCTTCATACCCTCATTTCCGTATTTCAAAGGGTAAAAGACATACACACCGACATTTGATTCCAATATCGGTAACCCTTTAGAAGACACTTCCATACCCGATTGTGTACCAGTCAATATTAAATTAATATCTTTTATTCAATATTTTTGACATGCAAACAACGAGTTAATCCATAAACACCTATTTTTTTTTTAACTGAATCAAAAATACCATCAATAATGTTGTTTTTTTCAAACTGATATGTTCGTACTCAATTTCTACACATCAATTAAGTGTACGGAGTTTTCTATCATGACTAATAAAATTTGAGGTATATAGAAGGAGTTATTTAGTTCTCGAAGGATACGCTAAATATAAACGTGTACTTGTAAAAAGAAGAATGACTTTTGTATGCTATTTGAAGAAGCGGTTAATCTGATAAATTAGTTGAGATTTAGAAAATTATCTTAAGGAAAAAGTGGTTATTACAACTAATTTACGAAAAGAATTTTTCTAAACATACGTATCTCAACTATTGAATGACTTTATTTAATTAAAAATTATATTCACATTTTAGGATCGTTCAATAGGAAATTCCAGTACTTGTCCAATTGCACGTCCGATTCCACTTAATTCTAGTCAACATAATCATCGAACTGTTTGTCCACTACCTATTCGACCACTCAATTCCAACATTTTATTACCGTTACTTCAACAAAATGAAAAATTTTTATCAGCCTCAAGAAAATCACAAGAATTTTTTCATGAATCTAACGGAACAAAATATTTAAATTTATCAATTATAAATAACAGTGGTATCAAGAACATTGATTCATTACAACAATCTCACCCATCATCAATATGGGATACTTCAGTATCGTCCTCGCCGTCAAGTATCAAACGTGATTCACAGTGGCTTGATCCACGATTAAGATCATCACCATCGACATTAGATCGTTTACATACAGAAGCTTTGATTCGTCATAAAACATTGCAAATGCTTCATACACGTTTTCCATTAAATAGTATTGATTTTCTTGCATCAATAACTGAAAATTCACTTACATCTCATCTAGCAAATAAAACATCTACATCATTACCTCCATTACATCCCCACACATTGGCAGCCATACTCAACTCATCGTCATCATCTTGCTCCTCTTCATCTTCACTAAATAACTCTTCTTCCAGTACAAACTCATTGAATTCATCACTACAGTCGTCACCAATCAATGTACCGTTTAGTAATCAGAATACTCAAAATTCAAATAATGATAAATGGTGGTCGGTCAATGAACATTCGTCGTTGTTCGGTTCTGTTACTCGACGATGTAAACGTTGTCGCTGTCCAAATTGTATTAATCAAACCGATATTGATCCACATACGAAACGTCAACATATTTGTCATATATGTAATAAAATTTACGGAAAAACATCACATTTAAAAGCACATTTAAGATGGCATGCTGGAGAAAGACCATTTCGATGTCATTGGCTATTTTGTGGTAAAGCATTTACAAGATCAGATGAATTGCAACGACATTTGAGAACACATACGGGAGAAAAACGATTTCAATGCCAGAGATGTGTATGTATCACTTTTCAAAACTATAAACCACTAAAAAATGTAAAATTCATTTTTCTGAAACGAAATTATTACCGTCTTTCATTTTTCTTTTAGGGTAAACGTTTTATGCGATCAGATCATTTATCAAAACATTCAAAAACACACGAATCACCAATAGCAGTATCATCACCATCAACAATAATAGCTAATGATCGACAAAATTTTCACCATCAGACCGAAAGTGAATGTAGTAGCAATGTGGATCTGATGAAAAGTGAAGACATGGATAGTGACACTGATGATGAAATTATCGACGTGCAATATTAACGCTTTATTTTCTCTTATTTATAAATCTTCATCTCAAAAGATAACAGTAATGTACATAAACTCTTTAAATTGTCTATAATATGTGCATATATATGATATAGAATTCATTTTAACAGAAAATTCCTTGTCTTATTTTTATGTTAATACTCGGTGATTTTAATTCGAACAAATTTGTTTTCTGCAGAATAGACGTTTGTACATAATGTAAGAAAAAAGGAGCGAATTTTTTTTATTTATTAAACAAAATTAATACTTATAATCATTAAATGAAATCTTAATACATCAGATTAGGTTCGATACGCTTGATGCAGCCCTCCTTCGGCGATCTAAGAGAAAATTTTCAGATGAAAATTGAAGTTGTAAGCCAGTTATATTGTTACATATTTGTTACGGCGACTATCCCCACCTAAGCATCCAAGGCTTTTTGTATCACCTCAGAGGTTTGAACCTTCAGTGTACCACCTGGAAAATGATTTTTACAGCAAAAAAGTGCCCCATCTACTTTTGTTTAAGGTATTGTTCTTCAAACGTCCCACAGGATAGACGCCCCTGATTTGTTGCCAACGTTGAAAATGTAATAGACGAATCAAAATTTAACAAGAATAATGGAGTTGTTCAGAGAATGTTTTAAACATTAAATGTTTTCTGTTCTATACAAATATGAAATTTTGTCTGATTAAAGTACACAGCTTAGGGATATTAATTTTTAGAGCAATGAGTTCAACTTCATAAAGTCAAATTAAGATCATTAACAGACATCGAACTTTTAGAAACTCACTTATATTTTCATAGAATGTTAGTGTAGGAAACTGATGAAAAAACCAGCATGTTTACTAATAAAATTCGTGCTCATTTGTCAATTGGCAGTCATATTCTTCCGAGAAAAGTCGTTATTCAATAAGATATGTCTTCCTTTTTCCGTAACCCGAGAACACAATATTCTTCTTTATGCTCAAACGAGATTTATCTTATATGTCACTTGACGAGATTCAAACCTGTCATAGATAACAAATATTATTAATGGCAAGAGCCCCGCAACACAACGGATTTCGTTGGCATAATCATATCTGCGAACATGAAATTTTGTCATTGATCGATGAATTTGTTAGATAATTGAAGCGGAATTACAAAAAAGAGAAGGAAATAATATCAGTAATAAAGAAGAGAATTATTAATACACTGTATATAATAAATCGATTCTTGGATAAGAGAATTGTTTACATTTCTACATTATACTAATAACGAATTTAGATAATTTTGAAGACCCAAAAGAAAATCTCATAACTTACGTTACGATTACGTTAAATCTGAAATAGTCATTTAGATACAGCGATGTCTATCGCCACCTGTCATTTTGTATCACCTACAGAAATTCAATTTCCGAGTTCATATTAAAACTTTCTAAAGTGGTGGACAAAAGTTTGAGACCACTTTTATTCCTGGATTTTCTTGTGAACGAAAGTAGCTAGAAGATATCCGACGACAGATGTGTGTAGAGAGCACCGTGGAGTAACTAGACATAAAATAAAAAAATTTAATCTGAATTTAGCCGAATTAAAAAAATGAACTTTTAAAAGTATGAAAGGCCTAAAACTTTCAAGAACTTTTAAGATCAGTGAAAAGTTACTTTTGATCATTTAGTAAGATAAAACAGACTTTTCTCATCAAAATGAGTCGTTCGGCAGATTCCCGCAACTTTTTTTGACCGAGTTATGAAGTTTTGTCGGAAAAGCACCGACGAATTTTTTTGCACCTAAAAATCTTTCTTTTAGCAAATTTGGTGTTTTTTTTCTGTCCAGTGCTTTCGGGCAAAACTTCATAAATCGGTCAAAAAATCTGCCGAACGTCTGTCTCATTTTGATGAGAAAAGTCTGCTTTAACTTGCTAAATGACCAAAAATGACTTACCTCTGTATCTCGCAGCGGAATATAGAAGACCGACTTGTTTTGAGAAACGCACCATAGCATAGACGCGGCTGTTCACATATACGTTTTTTTGACAAATAGAGATATTATACTTCGCCATTGGTGCTGAGAAGTCCATAGGTTTTTCTACGCTATAGCTAGAGTTTCGCTCAAGTTTTGCTCGCAATGTGGTGAAATATCTCAAAATAAATCTTCCTATGTAGGATATTTTGGATCTTGCATTATTCTGCTTTATTCGCTTTTAACCGCAATTATTTTACAGTATAGGTGTTTTTCTCACATCCTATCACTGGAAGTGATGTCAAGGTATATATTCCAAGATCGATCCAGAAGGTCCTGGATAACTGGGCCGATAAATGAGCTTTCTTGAAACGGGTTGATGTTGAAATAACAACACCAGAGATTGAAAATGCATTAACAGCAGCAGGATTTAAGCATGAAAAAATTGAACGCTTACAAAGTTTCAAAAAGGACAGTCCAGGTACAACAGTTAAAATTACATTTACTGATTCGTTGGATCGTGATACAACTGTTCGTACTGGAATACATTTAGAACATTTAAATATAATAGCTGAACCAGCCAAGTATGTAACAAAACCAATTCAGTGCTATAAATGCTTAGGTTTCGAACATATTTCAAAATACTGTCATAAAACTCAGCAAGTATGTACAAGATGCGCCAGAGCACACAATAGTAAAGACTGTGATAAAGATGACAATCAAATAAAGTGTAAAAACTGTGAAGGTAAATATTATGCAACATCACACGAATGTGATAAATATAAAGAATAAGAAAAGCGACTGAAATCAACAACTGAGAATTATTCGTCTACGTCATCTGAACGTACACGACCGTCGCCGACACCTAATGTTAACGATTATCGTGCATTTCCGTCAGCAGACGTTACATGTCGTCAAAACTCGTCATCTATATCGACTGTTGACATTGTTGAAACTGTCTTTGAGAAAGTTATAGCAATACTTCAACCAACTCTCGATAAAATATTAGAAAAATTAGAATTAACAACAACCACTGCACCACTATCGTCTACTACTGAAACAGCTACAGATCAGGACCAAATGGAACTTGATAAGTTTGAAACAGAAGAATAAGATCCTGATCAACTTGATTTGGATGACAATGAAGACGATAAGACTATAAGGATTGATGAACCACAAGTGATTAACAATAATGATGATAGAGAAACCTTTTACGAGGTAATGAACCAAAATCTTAGCACGACTACGTGTTCAATAGCCACAACCACTGATACGAGTAGTGTAGACAAATCTCTTTACCCATTTCAATCGAAACATAAAACGACACAGAAAAAACAACAATTAACGCTGAGACAGACTGCAGCCACAACAGGTAAAAATGGATCACAAACATCAGTTAAAAACAGCCATACAACTAATCCCATTCGATAATGAAAATTGTTCATTTCAATGTCACATCAGCTAGAAAACCATCGTGAGGAATTGATAGCCAGATTTCATGATTTCGATGTGATATCACTTAATGAGACAAATCTTGATGTCAAACACATTTTCTTCTTACCAAATTTCAATATTTTTCGCTATGATAGACCTGAAAAAGGTGGCGGAGGCGTACTGCTAGCAATTCGTAACACTATTAGGTGTCACGACGTGATTAATAAAATGAACAAATCAAATGAAATCGTTGCAGTGCAATTAGAAAGGAAAAAGCAACAACTCCTTATCTGTTCTATGTACGTCCCACCAAACTCAAAACTAAACCGAGAGTTATTTGATTTGACATTGACTCAATCCGGCCACATTAGTGGTCGGAGATTTAAACGCTGCATTATACAGTAAAGGTTCAAGAAAAACCAACGGAAAAGGTCAACAACTTCTTGTAGACAAGCTATTTTCGTGCAAACTCAGCCGCCACTGGGTATGAACGGTGGCCATAAACCGATGATATTTAATCCTACATTAGACGCAAATGCCAAGCCACTGAGTCCCCGTCTCTCAATGAATTATAAGACCGCAAGTTGGAACGTTTATCGGCAGGAGCTCAACCAATCATTATCTCAGTGGAATGAAAACAGATTAATCAGTACCCCAACAGATTTGGAAGAATACAATAAATAGATTACGAACAGTATGCAGGACTTTTAATGCGACCAGGACCCCGTTTTTTTGAAAATAGTCTAGCATGGAGCATAAAAATTTCTTACGAGGGAACCCCACGAAGTGATTAAACGCTTTTTGCTCGGAATCTAGTGGGTTATAGGTTATCGACCATGCTGATTACGAATACGACCATGCGGCTTCCGC